GCAAGACTGGCACACCTATTCAGAAAGGTTTTTTTTTTTTTTTTTTTTTTAATTTTTATTTATTTATGATAGTCACAGAGAGAGAGAGAGAGGCAGAGACACAGGCAGAGGGAGAGGCAGGCTCCATGCACCGGGAGCCCGACGTGGGATTCGATCCCGGGTCTCCAGGATCGCGCCCTGGGCCAAAGGCAGGCGCCAAACCGCTGCGCCACCCAGGGATCCCTCAGAAAGGTTTTAATAAAGGCAGACCTCCCTAGGGAGATTGAGCTATTTTTTCAGTACCTCTTCTTAGAAAAAAGCATTTTTAAAAAATGTGTGCAATAAAAATTTAATGAAAAATAGTTATCAGGGCTTGTTTGGCTTTGGGAACCCCATGAAGATTTCTACACATCTTTTAAATTTTTCATTATGAAAGATTTTTAAGGCATGGAACAAAGTATAAAGGATACCACCTACCACCAAGCTTAAGAAACTTAATTCAGAAGAATCCATCTGTATATCCCTCCTTGATTATATCTAGTCCTATACACCTTTAACTTTAAATTTATGACCTTCTTCTAATTTTTCTTTTTAATGAATCCAACTGTTAAAAATAAGACGGGGTAAATTTTAGGTAAGTCTGTTATAATGCAGTTACACATGCCCAAAGGTTGTAAACATTTTTATGTGTATTACTTGTGTTCAGAATTTTAAGTGGTAATTTATAATGTATTATTTGTTTAACATTTAGTTTCTATGCCTTTGCATATGTCAACCTGGGCTATCATGAAGAACATTGTTGCTAAGAATGGATTTGCAGGATTATTTACAGGTAAAATACTTGCTTTCCCAGATTGTTAAATAAATGGTTACTTTTACTCTCAAATCTTTATCATCTTCCTAAATTAACTTTAAGCAGGAAATTATTGAAAACATTCCCTATTTATGAAAACAAACCACATTTAGGATGTTGAAGCAAACATCTTTTCTGTAAGGAAAAGATTTATTATTAAAAAGACAAGATTTCTCTAAAAGTACCATGGAATTAAAGTGAGGAGATTGGAAGTAATTTGGCTTGTTCTTTGACACCAGTTTATGGCACAGTATGTGATACATCACTTCATTTAATCTGATCATTATCAGAATGAACTTTAAAAATTATATTATTTAAACATAAGGTAAGATTTATCCTGATTTTTTTTTCTATTCTTTTTTCAGGCCTCATTCCCCGTTTAATTAAAATTGCTCCTGCTTGTGCCATTATGATCAGTACCTATGAATTTGGGAAGACTTTTTTCCAGAATCAAAATGCTCGAAGACAGCAATACTAGTGATGATATTTCAACTTGAAATAACAACCAAAGCCAAATAATAAGGTGGAGAGGTTAGGCAAGAACTCTTTCACCGTTATCTTAACATGATTTTATATATTTTATCTTATAATTTAAATGAGCAGTAATTTCTGCTTTGCCTATGAATTATAACCCTAATTTTAAAATAAATTTTGTTAACTTCTGAGATATTGAAAAAGATATTCCAGAAATCACAACCATTAAATGTTCATGTAAAGAAAAGAAAGATTATTCCTTAACACTGAAAGTGGTAGTCTCTGAGAGTTTGATATTACAGGTTTTGGTATAATGTCATTGGGAATGTGTCAGATATATCAGAATATTTTGAATTGCATGCTAATGAGGTAGAGTCTAGGAAAAAAATTGCCCAAGTCTTTTATACACACTTAAATCATGCACATAGATCTTTAAGTACTCTAACAAAGTAGGTAAATAGATGGCAGTCTTTAAACATTTGCATTTACCAAATTATTAGATACTTTAATTGAAAGGCATTAGTTTTGTTTTTTTACCTCCTGTTGCTGTTTTAAGGCTTCATCATTATTAGGATTTCTTCGCCCAAAGGTACGGCTATTTTATCTTTATGAACCAGAATATAACTGTTTATGTGACAAAGATATTTTTGGTGACTAAAAGACTGTTTTATCTACTGTTTCCGCAAGAGAGGAGACTTTACTAATTATCTTAAATGTTTGGCACAGTGAATCTTGGTTGTGCAATGGAAAACCACATTATATTTAGAGTAGTAAAAATAATGTTAGTTTAGGAAGGGCCTCTGGTTTCAGCCATCTTAGAATTCGGTATCACTTTGTGGAGCTCTCGAGATCACTTGTATTTTCTTCTAACACGGAGATGATTATTATTTTTTAAATTTTATTTATTCATGAGAGACACAGAGAGAGAGAGAGAGAGGCAGAGACACAGGAAGAGAAAGAAGCAGGCTCCATGCAGGGAGCCCAACACGGGACTCCATCCTGGGTCTCCAGGATCATGCCCTGGGCTGAAGGCGGCGCTAAACCGCAGGGCCACCTGGGCTTCCCTAACACTGAGATTATTAACACAAGCCACAAAATATTTCCAAAATGTTCCTTGATTTTACACATTTCATGTTAATATGCTACATCAAGAGACAAAAGAGGCAGCAGTGGCCTTGAAAGAAATAGCTTTTAGTCACTGAAGCTTATACCTGTAGGACTGAAACAATGGTATGATGGTGGGACAAAAACAATGTTCTCTTTTTTTGGTTTTGACTGATTTCCTCAGGAGCTATATCCTATAAGAGAAGCACTTTATTGCAGTCTGTATGTATGCTATGAAAATGTGAATTATTTTTTCCCCCTAAAATAGGGTAATATAGTTAAAGATCTTTGGTGTTGGTAGAGAAATTAATGTATTTTGAATTAAAGTAGAAAAGAATTTATATGTTTCATCAGAAATAAGCTATATAGGGTTTATATGTAATCTTTTGTGTTTACTTGATACTGTGTTGATTTACCTTAAATTTGGCAACACACATATCTATAAAATTCTATATATTTATAACTTTAACTTAAATTTTCATTACAATGTTTTATGCTTTCTTAAAATTATCACTGTGCTGCAAGCTTAATATTTTCATATAAAATCATTGTTAATGCTATACTTTATATAAGAAAGTTTATCTTGAACACTGCTGTTTAACAGTATTAAATTTAAATTTACCTTTGTTTTGTTATGCTTCTCTTTGGTAACCATTTGGTAGAAAAGAGAAACATTTAAACTTATAATTATTAAGAAGCAGTCACATATTTCAACTTTATAGAAATACCAGAAGGGAGATTCCAACTGCCCTTCCATCCCCAAAATGGACTGCACTTACAGAAAATTCTTAGCATTTATGCCTAAAAAAAATAAACCAAATTCCCTAGTAGTTTTTCTACTACATATTACAGCCATTTATCTGGGTGAAAAGAAGGGTGAATTGAAACTTTCTCTATACTCAAGTGGTAAAGAAGCATTTATCCTTTAAGCAAAAAATATAGTAGCAACTGAAAAGCACTTGGCTAGAAATTATGTTCTTGGTAGTGTTTCTGAAAGCAAATAGTCTAAATCTGTGTTAAATTTTCTAACATACACATTTACTTCCTTATGTGTGTGCACATTTTTTAAAAAGAAAATCAAATATTACATGTTTGCCACCTTCCATATAATAGACATTTGATTTTTTGAAAAAGTTGATAGGGAAGTTAAAATAAATTTTACTTTTAATTCTAGGAAACTATTTACTATGCTTATGTAGCCACATGACTCTTTTAAATTCCTCCCTCTTTCCGGAAGATGAATTCCAGGGATATAGGAAAGTTCAGTGTATCACTTTTTCTTCTTTTTCCAAAGTGAATTTTTAAAATAAATTTTAACCTATCATTCAGCATCTACTCAGATCTTTTATATGGTAGGCAGTATAAAAAGCACTAGAGATAAGAAGTGCTTCATTCAGATACTGTCATTGGCTACAAGGAGATGGCAAAGCTGTGATTGACTTGAGGTCTGCAAGTGGAGCAGTGGGAAGGCTGAGGAATTCTCCACAGAGTTGGGGGCAGAGAGGGAGTGTCAGGAAATGTTTCTAAGGTTAGGACAGGTGATTGAATTAAACATACCTGGAGGTGGGAGTTTCAATCAGTCAATGGTATTTAGTCCCAGAGGAAAAAAAAAAAAAAACAGGAAGGCAACAGGAAACCAAGTATTTTTGCCACAGCTCTAATAATTATAGAGTTGGGTCTGATGATTTTTTTTTCCCCAAGACCAGCATTTTTTTTAACTGAAAAGAAAATAGGGTAGCACAGTTTAGCCCAGCACAGAAAACACCAAAATGTGTCACATGTAGTAAGGCTAAAGTCTTATGGAGTGAATTTGGGTTTAGTTGAGTTTTAGAGAAATAATCACCAGTATGGAAAATGAGAACATATAATAAGGATTGATTGGTTTGGACCAGAATAGACTTTGAAAAGGGACCATATTGACAATGATGTGACTTTATCTCCCTCTTCCTATCAGTTAAAAAGAACTGATGCTAAAAACAGAAGCTGCTTTGCTTCCAGAAGAACAAAGGAAACCAATATTTAAGAGCACCGATGTTCAAAGCAGTCATGTGACATTTCAGAGGTAATCCAGCACATCTGTTGATCAAAATTGGAGATTTTACCTAACGATAGGAACTTTTACAAAGAATTTCCATAAGTTGTAAATTTGAGACCCACTTTTAACCACTTGAAAACATGTGTGGAAATCTAATAAAGAGGACTTAAATAAAAAGTTTATATAATTTCATTTAATGCTGACATCATCTTGATGCCATCATAGGTTCTGAGAAGATGGTGATGTTTCCATTTTATAGGTGAGAAATCAAACATGGTTCTTACATAACTAGGTTAGCAACTACCAAAATTACTGCTGTATTGTACCACTTCGACAGATACTGTGTATTGTAAAGCCGGTCATGTTATTTTTTTAAAATAAAAGGTATTTAATTTGATATCAGTTGAAATAAAGATTTCTCCAAAACCTTTTGTCATATTATTAGTATTTTAGGTGTTGAATAATACACATTTACCATACTTGCTAAAACAAAAAGGTCAGTGTACAACTTGAATCCAGTAACTTGTCTTGAAGGAAAAAATAAAACCACTAATGCATGGTACAAAACATTTAATACACATGCAACAAGTATAGTACAAGGCAACAAAATACACATGGAAATATTAGCATATAATTCAGCATTCTGTTTTGGGTAGGGTGTGTAAACAATAAACACTACCACCTAAAATTAAAGATTGAGACATACATTGTTTCCTCATGCAAACATTAACTACATGTATAACTAACTAGTGTGAAATGAACTGTATAGAAACCTGAATTCACATTAGCAGATGAATTTTATACCAAGAGCTCCAAGAAAGGAGGAAAAGTCATGATCCTCAGATGTCATGTTTAAATCTGCATTTAGCAGCACATTAAGATGCACAAGTTACTGTATGCATTAGACAAATCTGAAAAATGTTATCAATTATGGAATCTTGATTTTCCCTTATTATAAAAATGTATGGAAAAAATTTAACAATGATTTTTTTAATTACTGAGGAATAGTAATTATCAGTTGAGAGTGGATCATGGATGATAAAGCATTTTAAACATTCTGATCATTTTTTAGGAAAGCAGCAGTAGTGCTTAAGGCCAGCCTAAAAAATATTCTAGTTTCCCTCCTTAGCCATTTCCTATTCCCTCCTCTCTAGGTTTCCACTGTCCTTATTTTGTATTTTTCTTTCATCTTTGTGCCCATTAAAAATTGCTTTGGATACCCCACTCATAATAAGGTATACAGGATTAAGAGTACGTACCATTAAATGGTTAAAGAAACCATTTTTCAAGAATATTTGCATTTTTACAAGTGCTAAGGCCTTAAGCTAAAGGAATAAAGCTCTGAATATGTTCTGGGACAACTTATTTTAACAGTTTCCAGACCTCCTTTGTCCCTGAAATGACAGCATTTGAACTTTCATATAAGACTAGCCTTATTATCATTATCTTAAATTCCAAATTATGAGATTAGAGCTCTAAATATTGCACAGAACCACCACACTCCTACATTTCTAATACAAAGAATGATGTAACAAGTTCAGCTTGCCTCCTCTGAATAAAATAAATTGTTGTAGGGGAAACACTGTTTCTATATGTCCAAGCTAAGTTTGAATGCAGTATTTCATTAATAAACAAAAATAGCATATGAAGTCCCCATTAAGTATTGTGTCCTCTTCATGTAAACAATGTATAAAACTTCTTTGGCACAACTGATCGTGTTTTTCCTCATATTACTTACTATAGAAAATATACTTCATACATTTTGTCTTAATATGGTGGGATTTTGATGGATGAACTATATAGTTCCAAAAACTGCAAAAAAAAAAAAATTATAGCACTTAACTTTTTAAAAAACGATTTTTTTTTTACCTGTAGAAGTGCAGGGATTTTTACATTAGTATCAATTTTTAACATTAACATGGCATGATTCATTGCTGCACATGAGGGAGAACAAAACAGCAGTTTGTCAGACATACTGTTGACTATGGTGATACTCTACTGATCCTTACTTGAAGGTTCTCAAATCCTCAAATGAACTTTCCAACATCTGTTCTACATTTTTAAATGTCCCAAATATTGAGGAATATTTGATATTTTTAAGTAACCTTTTAAAATCTTGGGGAAACAATTTATTCATTTTACCAAAATGGTGTGAAATACTTTCCCTATGACCCCAACAAATTTAGTAATGGCCTAAGACATAATTCCTACAAAATTTATAAAGTGTTAATGGAATGTTGATGCCAAATGATAACTGTTAAAGAAAAACCAAGTAAGCCACTATGAAATGAGCTGAGAACCTTTTCCTCATACTAAAAACCAGGCATTTAAACATCAGAACCTAGGAGGAAATTAATGAAAAATGAAATTGTCAGTTTTAGAAAATGTGATCAATGAATAAAATAGTAAAAATACTTAGCTTAGTCTCTGGAATAAAACCTTGAACTCAGTCTCTGGTGATTATGGTACATTTAAATATATGCAAATCAGCTGAATAATAAATATACATCACAATTTGTAATGGATTATTAATTTAGAGGATATTTGAAAGTTTTTAAAGTCTATTCATTTTTAAACTTCCTCAGTGACAAATATAAGAATCTTAAAATGGCAGGATCTTTTTCACTCAGAATGGCACATGTAATGGACTGAATTCTCTAATAGAAGCAATAGAATTCCAGACATGTGCCAGAACAATATAAAATTCCAAAGGTTTTCCCAGCAGTCAAACTTACGTAAATAGAACATTTGCAACATAAAAACTTTTGGCTTTTACATAAAATTTTTCAGGATGGAGTTAGGCCTGGACTCGTCATCTCTGTTGTGGGACTTGCAAGGTAGTCATTAGATTTGAGACTTGTTAGAGATTTGTAACTTGCCACTGATGTTAGAGACCCACAGAGACCAAGTAATGAGGGAGTATCTTCTTTACCTGGAAGTTAAGATAAAATAACAAATATTTAATTGCCCTTGAAGAATTATACCAAAAGATCCTATAAAACTAAAAACTTACAAAATACTGTAAACATACCTAATTACGTTTTTCTCTAGCTTCAGTGTTACCTTCAAAAACCATTACCAGAGGATTACATGCGCTCCTCATAACAGTTCTAGATATGGAAGTCTGAGATACTGTGTTTTAGGACAAAAATAAAAACTACCTTTTTTTTCAGAATATGTTCATGTTCAGTTAGTAAGGGATAATAACAGTACCAATGCCCAGGCCACAGAAATAGGAAATCCCTATGTAGGTAAGTAATGCAGCAGAAGCATTACTTCAGTTCAGGAGAAGGGCTGGACTGGGAGAAGCTTAACTCACTTATTGAACATTTATTCAGCATCTACCTTGCATCAGGAATTTGTCATGTACTGGACTGCAGTAGGCCCTGAAGAAAGATGGGCAGTTCTGTTTTCACAGCTGGGGAACACAAGTTCTCTCCAGAGCTGAGTAAGTTTGCAAATACTACCAAGAAGTGGCTTTTTGAGGCTGTGAAAGGCTGAGGTCTTTGAACATTAGCAGGTTTCCGAAGCAGATAAAGAGCTTCAGTTCTACTCAGTTATGGAAGTGTAAACTGGACCATACAGCAGGTGTTTCTGAATGCTGCTCTTTTAAATGGCCCCTCAGAAGTGTTCCCATTGTCCTTTGAACTCTAGTCCCACCTAGTTAATCCTGTATGATAATTATGGGGCTCTCTCTTTTTCTAAACTATACCCTAAGAAAGGACATGTAATTTGTTGTGTTATTATATTCCCAGTGCCTAGCACACAGGAGATGCTTATTACATAATTAACGAATCATGATTCAGGAAGAACTGTACTGGGACCCAAGAGAGCTGTATGACCTTAGGAAAGGCATCTTCTTTGAGCCTAGTCTTTCCTTTGTAAAATACTAAAAGTGACAAGCAATGTTAACTACACAGTTTTGCTGACAAGTAAAAGAGAGGAAAATACAACAGTGTTAGAAGGAGATATGGAAGAGTAATTGTCAAATTCAAATTTAGAATGTTTATCATGTTATTTTGGGATCAAAAGATTTAGATGTTTCAAGGGCACTTTTAATGTTTAAGTTTAGAGACCCATTTGGGGCCAGAATCAATTTTCTGGAGTTCTTATTAAATGCTCCTTCAACTCAACTGCTTTGGACAGTCTTTCTAAATTTCTACTTTAAGTATAGAATTCAGTGGCATTAATTACATCCATGGTACTGTGCAACCATCACCACTATTTCCAAAAATTTTCATCATCCCAAACAAATTCTCTACCATTTAAGCAGTAACTATCCGTTGTCCCCTTACCCTCAGTCTCTGAAAATTCTAAACTACTTTCTATTCAATACATCATTCTCACAAGTGGAATCATACAATAGTTACCCTTTTGTGTCTGGCTCTATTTCCCTTAGCATGTTTTCTAAGGTTCATCCATGTTGTAGTGTGTATCAGAATTTCATTTCTTTTTTATGGATCAATAGCATCCTGCTGTATGTATACACTACTTTTTGTTTATCCATTCATCTGTATAGACACTTGGGTTAAGTCTACCTTTTGAGTACTGTAAACAATGCTGCTACAAATACTGGCACACAAGTATCTGTTTGAGTCCTGTTTTCAATTCTTTGGGAGTTAGAGAATAATATATTATACAGTAATGCAAAAGACTAAATGTTTAACACAGTTACACAATGAGATACTACAGAACTGTAAAAGAGAATCTGAAGGATCGCTCTGTAATGCCAGATAGTGATTTCTAGGACATACTGTCAAGTGAAAAAAGCAAAGTGCAGATTAGAGTATAGCATGTTGCCTTTTATCTAGGAAAGGGTGACATAAATTATTTGAATTGACATTTTAAAAATGGATAATTCAAAAACTAATAAAACTGGTTAACTGTGAAAGTGAAAGTGAACAGAACTGAGATGAACTTTAAAGCACAGTAATTTGACTCTAGCATATATTCTCAAGATAAAATAACTAGAAATCCTAGACTATTTTAAATAACCATATTTTCATAATAATAAACCGATATCTTGAAATTTCTATAATATGAAAAAATAATTATATTCATATAAATGAGGAATCAATATTTTCATCATTAGATACCAAAACATAAAATCAAGTACACAGAAACCCTGAATCTTAAATTAGAATTGTAAAATAAATTTAAAGTGTATTTTTCTTTAAAAATAAATCCCTAACACTTCCATAGGCTAGAAACAATGACCATTCCAGCAGCAACAGGAACCTGTATAAGCCCAAATTATGGTCTCTAACATTTCCTAGTATAAAGAAGGTAGGACACAGGAGTCCTATTTAAGGGTCTCTCAATGTTCAAAAAGGACAGTAACCTCCCGACGAGATGTGCTGACAAAGACACATTATTCACGTTGTATGTTTAACCTGAATATGATAATAACATCAGACAAATCTAAATTGTTGGACATTTAACAAAACTGGTTTAGGCTCTTCAAATATGTAAATGTGTGTGAGAGAAAAAGGAAAGTATTCTACTCAATGAAAGGACCCCAGAGAGATTGATAAGGAAATGTAATATGTGATCCTTGAATGGATCCTGAACAAAGGCTTGTAAAGGTCTTTTATTACTGGACAAGTTGAGATACGTATATTAACAAATTATCAGGTAATATAGTGATGTTAAATATCTTAACTAAGGGTCATATGGTGTGGCTTTGTAAGAAAACATCCTTATCCCTAGGAGATATATGCTGTTGTATTTACAGATGAAGTTTATGATACCTGCAGTTTACTTCAAATGGTTAAGCATAATAGTAAGGGCATATGTCTGAGTAAATGGAGGGAGTCTGTGCCCACAAGAGCAAAAGCAAGACAATGCCAAGTGTGGCAAAATGGTAACAGGTTAATAGTGGTAAAGCATACAGCAGTGTTCATTCTTTCAACTTTTCTGTAGGTTTGAAATTATCCAAAAAAGTTGGAGTTGGGGGAGAAGACAAAGGTACACGAAGTCTTCAGTTGTGCCCCAAGGAAACAAACCATACAGCAGAGCTGACTGGGGCATATTCAGGAAAGCATGGGGCAGGGGGGTGTGGGGGGGAGTGTATATCTACTTATAAAAGCCTTCAAAGACACCTGTCCAACCTCTGAAAATACTGATGCTGTGGAACATGCAGGGCAGTGTGTTACCCTTAAGGAAGCCAAGAGACTTCACTGTAAGCCTTCATTTAAATATAAAAGTGAAAAATTGTGCAAAAGAATCAAGGTGGTTATGTTGTGATTGTAGCCATCCAACTATAAAAGGAAATAAAATATAAAAAGGAAATAAGCAAAAGGAAATAGGTGTTAAGGCAGAGAATGATAGGGGATTATTCCAAAATATTCTTGCATATTGTGATGTCAGCAGTTAACACACATATGTGCATATACATAAAATTATCACAATGGACTAAAAAATAAGTATGTTAAAATCTGTGTTGATGAAATTTTAAAAGCAACTTTTTGATACAAGAGGAAAGAACTAGGTTCTTTTAAGGTTAACTAAAACTTTCTAGCCTAGATGAATAGAAAAGTGGTAATTCCCTAGCAGAAACAAATTAGTCAAAAGAAGCAGCAAATAGATTTCCTTTTTTTTTAAGATTTTATTTATTTATTTGAGAGAGCACACTAGTGAGGTGAGTGGCAGAGGGACAGGGAGAGATAGAGACTCTCCACTGAGCAGGGAGCCTGACACAGGGGCTCCATCCAGGACCCCAAGATCATGACCTGAGCCAAAGGCAGATGCTTAACTAAGCCATCCAGGCACCACTAGATTCTTGTTTTAATTTTTTTTTTTTTAATTTATGATAGTCACAGAGAGAGAGAGGCAGAGACACAGGCAGAGGGAGAAGCAGCTCCATGCACCGGGAGCCCGATGTGGGACTCGATCCCGGGTCTCCAGGATCGCGCCCTGGGCCAAAGGCAGGCGCCAAACCGCTGCGCCACCCAGGGATCCCCTAGATTCTTGTTTTATAGCAAGAAAGATCTGTTCTGTTTTAAATGTATTGAGAGAGTCTAGATTCTACAAGTCTTCAGATGCTAGTGCTTCAAATGTTACTAAGTTAGAAGTCATTCATTTAGCGCAATGCCAGACACTGTGATAAAAATAAAAAGAACCACTTCTTGCCTGTAAGGAACTTAATGTAAGGTAGAAACATACACAAACAGAAAATTCTAATAAAGTGCAGTAAGAACAGTAAGTAAAAGTGAGATCACCAACTCTATAAGAAAGTCTGAGTGGGGAGGAAGGGGTCAATGAGGAAATGAAAAGGCTGTAAATTGTATCCTAATTTTAAGGAATGACTACAGAGATTCCTTAGGCACTAGCATAAACCCAGGAACACAGGGAAAATGTTATATTAACCTGCTTTGTAAGCAACATGTTACCTTTTTGTGATCAAAGTTCAAGAAAAGGGGTGAGCCTCATTTTGTGCAATAAAATTTCAAACTATTGGAAACCAATGTGTGTGGTAGTTGTAGCGGGCAAAGAGGGAATTACTAGGACATATTTGTTTTTGCATGTATATGTGTGAACTTGGTCACACGTGTCCATACTGATATCTCTTTAGCTGAGTTACTTATATACTGATTAAAATGGCTCCCAAAATTATTACTTTCCTTTAAAATTAATAGTTCAGAGAAAAGCACGAAAACATGTAAATTTCACTGAAGCAAATAACTCATTACAAAAATTACGGCAGTTCACACTTCCTTGTAAAACAACACAAAGGGCTCAGGAAAAACCCTGCAAGTAGATGAAACTTGGGTACATATGCAAAAGGACTGCTATTGCATGCCAAGTGTGCATTGGAGGCAGAAGACATTCCTCAGACTAGATAAAAGAAATTTTAGAGCAACAAGCAATTGGTGGGACTGATTCACGCACCATGCGGATTTCTGTTAGGATCTGAACCTCAACTTGTCATGG